AGAGCTACCTTCAAAGCAATTTTCTTCAAGGTTACAGGAAAAAAAAAATTAAAAAATATCTTCCCAATCCTGAAAATTCTGAGTGGACACTAATGGCTTACTTACACGGTGTTAAGCTATTCCAAGATAATAAACAAACAAGGTGCGTGCCCTAGCATATGGACTGGACGTCCTATATACAGCTCTTTCCCCAGCATCAGCCTTAAGTGATGCAAATCGCAAAGAAACCTTCTCCAAAATTTCCTCTTGTTTCTGAGTGGCAGCAGCTGGGCTGCTCCCAATCTTTTCAGGAATGCCAGCACATTAGTGCCATAAAAACAGCTTGTCTTGGTGAGACAGGGGCTGGAGCTCTCAGAATGTACTTTGTGACTGTAGTCATTCAAAAGGTGCATTTTGTTACTGTCTGGAGGAACAGGGCCAAAATGGCACACTTTAGAAAGTACGGAATTGATTTCTCCTCCCTCATTTCAACAGCAACGAGTGCAGCTCTGCACTGTCGCATGCTGACATGGGTTGCACTATTTAAAAGGCACACACAGGGCACCCCTCGTAAAAGGAGGCAAGATTTTCCTGGAGTTAATCCTTATTAGCCGCCCCACCACTCTGTCCCTTGTCCCCAAATGCTCTGCATGTTGATTTCTAGCTTTGCAGCAACTTTTGCATTGTTAGGGATTTGACTACATCTCTTCAAGGCGGACCCTGGCAAGGAGAATTTGAGAGGGAGCTACTAGTAACATCTCAGCCAACCATGTTTCAAAACAAATTTCTCCCACAAACCCCTGTTGATACCTGTGAAAATACTGCTCAGATAGTCCCCAGTGGACCTCTGTACACCTTCCAGTGAAACAAAAATATCTGAGGGCTCCACCTGTACTTTCTGCGGGCTGAGTCACTAAGTTGTGGTCTGACTCTTTGAGACCCCATGCCCACCAGGCTCCCCTGTCCACGGGATTTCCCAGGCAAGAATACTAGAGTGGGGAGCCATTTCCTTCTCCAGGGGATCTTCCCAACCCCAGGGATGGAAATGACGTCTCCCGTGTCTCCTGCATTGCATGCGGGTTCTTTGCCACTGAGCCACCTGGGCTTCCCATCTTATATTTTTCAGTTTTGGCCAAATGTAACAAAACTAGTATTTGGCCTCCAAAGCTGTCCTTTTCAAGAAACCCAATAAACCCAACCCAATAATGCCAACATTTGAGGACACTTCTGGTGGTGCTCCAAGAATACCAGCGAACTCTCCCACTTCCCCGGTGTTCGTGGGGCTGTGTGACCATGTCTGGCCAATGGGAGTGAAGGGTTACACGTCTGGGCCGTGCAGTTCAGCCTCAGTGAACACGCAGAAACCACAGCAATAGCTGCGAAGACTCAGCCCTCATTTATGGAAACTGCCACCATGGCGAGTTGGTTTGAAACCTCAGCGTCAGGCCTGCCACCTGAGGAAACACTCCAGGAGGTCCTCATCTGCCTCTGCGTTCTACTTACATCAAGTCTGCTTGCCAGCCATCTGCTCTCACGGTGCCTCAGAGGCAGGAGAGGAGCCCTGTAGTTTCAGCCTCAAAACCGCATCGCTAGAGGGGAACACCCATCCCTTCAGCATGTATGCATTTTCTCTGTGTACTCTCCCAACACATCTCTCCTTCACGTTAGTAATAAAGAAAAAAAAATACTTGAAAAAAGGAAAAAAAACATCCTTGTTCCCTCTAGGCTGTTCTCATGATTGGCCAGCTCATCTGTCCTGATGCTAATTCAATTTCACTTTGCTTGTCCGGAAAGAAGTTTCTCCTTTGCTCTCATTCCTGTGTACTGGCATGTTAGGAGTCTGGTAAAAACTCACAGGCTTCCTTGGTGGCTCAGTGGTAAAGAATCCGCCTGTCAATGCAGGACAACGGGTCTGATTCCTGATCTGGGAAGATCCCACGTGCTGCGGACCAACCACGCCCGTGCACCACAATGATTGAGCCTGTGCTCGAGAGCCTGGGAGCCACAGCTACTGGGTCCATGTGCTGCAACTACTGAAGCCTGTGCGCCCCAGAGCTTGTGCTCCATAGTAGGAGAAGCCACAGCAAGGAGAAGCCTCAAAACTGCAGCTAGAAAGGAACCCCAGTCGCTGCAATAAAAGAAATGCCCGCATAGCAACAAAGACCCAGCACAGCCAAAAGTAAATAAAATTGTTAAAAAAAAGAAAATCACACATTCAAAAAACTCCCTCTCCAAAACAACAACAACAACAAAACACCTCAACTCATAGGCAGTATCTACTGAAGGAGGTTTAAACCTCTCGTTACTTTAAACCAAGCTTTGAATATACACATGTAATATGAATATCAGCTTCTCTAGTGGCTCAGATGATAAAGAATCTGCCTGCAATGCAGGAGACCTGGGTTTGATCCCTGGGTCAGGAAGATCCCCTGAAGAAGGGAATGACAACCTACTTCAGTATACTTGCCTGAAGAATCCCATGGATAGAGGAACCTGGCAGGCTATAGTCCATGGGGTTGCAAAGAGTTGGACGCGACTAAGCAACTAATAGTAACTAACTAACATGTAAATAACATGTACAAAACATTCTAAACATATTTTAACCATGAAATAATATATTATTCAATACGTATGTGCAATTCAGACTGAGTTTTTCAAAAGCATACACAGTATGAACACATGGGGAAATACATCTTGAAGGGAAGGGCCTTAAAAGCTCTCTTTACGACATTGCACAGCCCCTTCTGGCAAGCAGCTTGCCATCAACATGTCTGTCTGGTCAGCCTGGTATCCACATCTGCTTGGCCAAACAGCCACGGTCCTCAGTGGCCAGCATGATCCTTATCAGGTAGGCAGAGAACCAAGGTGGGCCAAGCAGAAATAACACTGAGGTTTGTGCTAGAACTACTGGGAACAGCAACTTTTTCACACTGGAGCTGCTAGGGTTACCCAGCCTGGGGCAGCAGTGGGCCCTCTCTGCTCCTTCCCGGAGAGAATCTGCGACTAAAACCACACAGCACTAAGCAGAGACAAGGGGAGGGCGAGCAGACCTTTTGTTACCTCTAGGCATTCAGTTTAACCCTAGGCAAATCATGTTAGGCAGCCTCCGATGTACCAATCAGTGGGCTCCAGACAATATCTGTTTGTAAACCATCATGTCCCGGTGACAGGGACGTGAGTCTAGTGTTCCTAGGCTCACCCTGAAACACAACGTCAGCTATCACCTAGCTGGTCTATAGCGCGAACAGCACCACAGTTACCCTTAGACGCCAGGGGAAGGCCTCAGATGAACCCTTCCTTATTCCCTTGACCCTTCCGACTGAGAACAGACCCAGGGACACCATCTGTTCACAGATTCTGTTGACCCCACCTTGGCTGCCTTCATCCGAGCCACCATCACTCCTTCTTGGACAAGTTCATAGTCTCCTAGCTGGTCTCTATGCCTCTGCCCCTGCCCCTGCTCCTTTTTAGGGGTCTTGGCAACACAGCCAAGGAATCCTGAGTCACAACACTTCTCTACCAAACAGTCCTTCTGTCATGGTAAAAGGCAATGTGTTCCAGTGGTCTGGAGTGTTCACAAAGCTGTACATGACCCAACTCCCCTTTATCCTGCTTCTTCCCGATACCCTTTCCTACACTCTCTTCCCACACTCATCTGCTCCAGCCACGGCTCTTGGCTCTTCCTGAAACATAGTAGGCACATTCCTGCCTCAGGGCCTTTACACATGCTGTTTCCTCTGCTTGGAACCTGCCCCAGATGGAGCCCATTCGACTCCTTTGGACAAATACCCCTTACCAGGGATAAGGCATTCTTTAACCACTCCGAGGGCTTCCCGGGTGGCTCAGTGGCAAAGAACCTGCCTGCCAAGAGGAGACGAAGGTTTGATCCCTGGGTCGGGAAGATCCCCTGGAGGAGGAAATGGCAACCCACTCCAGTATTCTTGCCTGGGAAATCCCACAGACAGAAGAGCCTGGAGGGTTCCAGTCATGGGGTTGCAAAGAGTCGGAGATGACCTAGCAACAAAGCAATAACCACCACCACCACTCTGACCATTCACCCTAAAGCCTCAGCATCCCCCTCCACCTTCCAGACTGACTTTTCTCATTGCACACTTAACATCATCTTGTTGGCTTACTTATTCCCTGTCTCCTCTACTAAAATGTGAGCTCAATGAAAGAAGAGTGTCTGCAACACAACAGGGGCTCAGAATTCATTGAATGAATGGACAGAAGTGGGGGGAACATGACCCCTGTTCATTACTGATGAAGCTTGTTAAAGGGCAGAAGCTTCCCACATCAGTCTGAGAGGTGAAGCCTGCCAGGGGAGCCAAGTGGGCCAGCCTATCTCACTCAGTTAAACTGGCTGACAGTGTGGAGCTGAAAAAACACACAACTTTTAAATAGAAGCTTCAAATAGGCTTCCCTCGGGAAGCAGTGAGAACCAGTTCAAGGATGATGCTAGTATAAGGATGACTTACCATCAGCCCTCTTTATGTGTATTACACATCTTTATGTGTATTAAATGCCACAGAATATGATAAATGTTCTATCACTGAATTTTCAGTAAAAGGCTATGAAAAAAATTTTAAGGTCAAGAGGTGCTATTATGTGGTTATGACAAAGTGGAGCGCGGTCTCAGAGAAACTGGGAAAGCTCAAAAACTTATTAACTCATTTCATGGGTTCAGAAACTAAAGCTCAAAGTGGGAAATGGGATTTGTAGCCAGCAAGTAGCAGGGCTGGTATCTGAACTCGCATTTCCCTGATTTTTGAGCAAAAGCCTCTTTGGCACTAAATTCTAGGAGCTCATCATGGGTGACTTAATCTCAACAGAGGCTCTGAATCGCCAGCTTCTTGCAGATAAAGCGGGTCTCCCAGGTGGTAACACAAGACGCACTGCAGCCGCCTTACCTTTCTGAGTGAAGAGGCCATGGGCGCCCCCTCCCCTTGGTCAAGCCCCCCTCACTGGGCACGTGCTGACGGTGGAACCCGAGCCCACGCCAGGGCGGCCTGGCGACTCACCTCCAGTAAACGAGCACAGCAATGAGAAGGATGAGGCACACGAAGGTCAAGGCTGATACCACAATCAGAGGGATGATCCACTCCATCCTCCCCGGGGAAGGCCGGCTTATCATCCCAGAGGTGTTCTTCTCTGCTGCAAAGAGAAACCATGCCAGTTAGAGGGCAGAGGCGAGCCGAGCGTGGGAGCCAGGGGAGCCTGAGTGTGCTGGAAAACTCTGCTCCACTTTTGGGTGGTTCCTGGAACGGGGCTGCCCGGTGACGAAGGGCAAACCACTGTCCTCGCCGTTTCCTGGGGAGTCCCAAGCCAGGCGGGGCCCGCTCTGCAGGCTGCACCCCGTAGTCGCCAGTGGGATGGGTTTGAAGATAAGAGGTCCAGATGTTTGTGAAAAGACTTGAGCCGATGCCAGAGACCCAGCCTCGCTCTGCGAACGCTACTGGCCCTGAGTGGCCTCTGGATATACTGAAGAAATGTGCCCGGGTCTGAACGAAGCACTGAACCCGCTTCTGGAAAATGGACAGGGGAGCCGGGCAGTTTTGCCAGGGCAGGAGGGAGGGAAGGAAAGATGGGTTTTACTGAGATAACCGTCTGTGGCTGATCGGGTGTGTATTTCTTTGCTTAGCATCCGTTACCCTCTCCTCTAGCCCTGCTGTGGGAAACCACCCTCCCTAACAGTCCTGGTGGGACAATTGTCCAAGAGTGGATCCCCCAGTCTCCCGGCCAAGGGGAAGGAGCAGGACTCAAGTTGGAGCAATGGTGCTCTCACCCTAGAATCTCAACCAGCCTCTCAAAGTCTGAACAATAGCACACCCAAGCAAAAGCACCCAGATTCCTCCGCCCATCAGCTCCCACCACCCAGATCCCCAGAGACCCTGTTTTTCCCTCAAATCTGGTTCAAAAGCTTTTCCTTTGATCCCATTTCCCACCTGCCCCCTCACCCCATCCTTCTAAAGGCTCTCAGACAGGCAGCCCCGTCTCTCTCTGCTCCCAGCACACATCAGCCCCTCAACAGTAGCCAGTCTGGGGGTTAAGAGGGGAAGCTTGCGGGATAGTCGAAGATTCTCTCGGGTCGGCTAGCACCTCTTACCCCAGCAGCTCCTCCTCCTCTCTCAGGCCCCAAGGATCTTCACAAGTTCCCAGCAGACTCAGGTGAGAACCTGATCTGTGAACAGTGGGGTCGATGCCTGGAAATCTCCAGGTGGTCCGCAGGAAGCTCAGAGGGCAGCGTGGGGTTGGGGAGAGCCCAGGAGCACAGAGACGGTCAGGAGAAGCATGTGGTGAGAAAGCAAAGTTTCCCTGCGATGAAAGGGAGAAGCCCACAGACACCTCCACTGCTGGCTGCAGGGCTCAGCGAGGATTCCTCCTGCTCTGCAAAAATGAGGCCAGCATTCAGCCAGCCCCAAGCACCCCTGTGCTGGATGGACTACGTGAAGGGCTAATCAGGCTGGGTTTCAAGGAGAGAGGGGGTGGGCTGAGCAGGAAAGAGATAATTGGCCCCGGGAGCAGATGATTAAAGAGGCAAGACCTGGAGTGAGGAAGAAATGGGTTACAGCCTTTTTTCCTGGGTTTCCTCAAATGTAATTGACCTTGATCCTCTCCTTTGTTTCATGCACAGGCGGGACCAGACGTATGCCCAGCTCACAGGTGACAAGACAGAGGCAGCACACTCTGATGAAAAACCTCAGCAGGGCAATCGGAGATTTATAAAGAGCCTTCCTAACTGTGCTGGCCCATTTCTCACAATAGCATGCCCCAGAGGTTTCCATCAGGCATCTATCTGACAAGTCTCGACTGCATGCCAGGCATGGTGAGATGGGATGCGGAGGCAAGAAAACATCAGATGGGAACAACTCTGTGTCTGTGGGGTGGGAATTTAAAGGGAGAGGAGCAGACGCATGAACAAGCAATTGGAATAAATGAAAGTGATGCCAGGGGCAGCACATGGGGTCCAGGGGAACAGTGGTCTCAGCCCAGGGATTCTGGTGGGGCTTCCTGATGTTCAGATGGCAGTTGAAGGATGAAGCTGAGTTAGCCAGGTCAAGGGCAAGCACGGATGTGTTCTGGAGAGAGAGCGCTGAAGTAGAGGGGGTATGAGAATGAAGAGGGGGGGATCCAAAATGGAGAGTCGGAGGCCCCACCAGCCACGGTTTGTAGGCTGGATGAAGGGAACTGGTTTTAGGCCAGAGGACATGTCCTGCAAGATTGTAAGCTGAGGCGGACAAGCGTCAGATGTACAGTCTCTCTCTATGTATCATGCTTTCCTTGTGAACCTCCGGTCACCGGCCACAGAAAGAATCAGTTGCGAATAAGAATTTTCAGGGCTCCAGCAGGGGGCAGCCCAGCCAGGTAACCATGTGGCCGGCGGTGGGGAATCTCAAAGCGGCGATGGTGCCGTTCATGGAAAATATGGCAGGAGGGCTGACGTAAACGCCTTATGGCCAGGGAACTCACTTTCCACCCCGGGAAGTCCTGGTGTACCCAGTGTCTTATTCCTCTCCGCTCCTTCTCACGGAAGAGGCTTCCTGTCTGGGCTACTGCGTGGTTAGGCAGGGGTGGGGAGGAGGCAGAAGGCAAAGTCCCTGTCCTGCTCGTCCTCAGATCACTGAAAATGACCCTCGCCCGAAACTCCCTCCGATTTCCCAACGGGGCTGCTTCTAACATCTCATCATGCCTGTGTGAGCGCTCTTCTTTTTTCTTTTAGAGGTTGAGGGAGTAAACATATCTGAAGTCCCTCTCAAGACAGCCCCTTGAATGGTGGCATTTGTGGAGGACTCAGACCAGCAGCAGCTGGCAGTGAGAGAGAAAAAACTAAGGACTATTTTGACAGCGGTTTGTTCTCCACCTGGACTAACGACGGGCAGCGGGATCTGCCGAGGTTGTTTACCTAAAAGCCAGGCAAAAATAGGAGTGCCACTGGATTTCCGCCTGGGCACAACAAAGCTGACCGCATGTTAACACTCAAGAGTCCCACTTCGTCTTCACGGTACCAGGAGCCTGGAACTTCACTCCATGCCCACAGAGTCAAGTGCTTCTTCTCCTGAGGAATTCCGCATTGCCCCTGGGGACAGCAAGGTCCTCCATGAGTGAGCACCCCCTCCCCATTATCTCCTGCTACCCCACCTCCGCTGCAATGGGTTCCAGCCACATCCACCCATCCAGTGACCAGCTGGGCCATGATTCCACCTCTTGACCTCTGACCCTGCTGAGCTCACCGCCCGGGAACACTGCTCCATCCTGTCCCCAGAAGCTCCTGCTGATCCCCTCAGTCGTGGCTCAGGTGTAGGGATCAGCTCCTCTGTGAAGCCTCCCCAAACCCTTGGTCTGTGGCTCTCTGGAAGGTGCAGTTAAGATTACAGGCTTGAACCCTGGCTCTGCCACTTTCTACATGACCTCTAACTGATAACTTGCATCACTCGGGGCCTGGAGTTCTTCATCTATAAAAGGGGGAGACAAGAACCTATTTCCCTGATGTGGTGGGAAAACTCAAGACACAAGCAGAATGCTTAGACGTGTGCCCAGCACTGAGCAAATACTAAGTAAATCCTCTAATCCTCGCCATGGTGGTTGTCATCATGCACTTTTCTTACGGCACACGTAATGCCAAGCGCTCTCTTATTACTTACTCTAAGGTGCCCCAGAGCAGGCCTGATGGTCTCTGTACAGAACAGTAATAAAGCTCTGTCTCTTCCTAGTCACGCAACACTTGGGGAGTTACTTAAGCTGTTTGGGCATCAGTTTTGTCATCTGTAAATGGAAATAATGATACTTCCCACTACAGTGGGGTGGGAGGGGGTGTGACGATCACATGAGTTAATTCGATAAAACCCTTAGCGAGCTGCCTGGCACCCATAAGCACCTACTTAACAATATCAACTGTGACAACCATCATCACCACCACCGTCCTCGCCCCCTTCAGCACCCTAGCATAGCACCAGGCAGATGGAGAGCGCTCGTCAGGTGTCTGCAGAATCTGAATTCCCCTATAAAATACGAGGGCACGCGTGGCAATCACACAGAACCGCAGGTGGATTCTGGGGGTGTCAGCAGGGGAGGCGGCCTGTGAGGTGACCGCCAGTGAAGAGCCAGAACCTCAAAGTCTGTCCTAAGACTAGACTGCATCCTGCCGTGCTTCAGGAAGAAACCCTGGTCTGCTGCCTGACTTGCGGGATGGCCCAGCAGGCCCTCAGAACAGAAGGTGCCATCAAACAGTCAACTACTAGAAATTAACCAGCAACACATAACCTGCCACCTGAGCTGGGTCTACACTCTTCCCCCCAAGCCCTCAGTTTCCCAACAACCTTCCCCACGCCAAGGCCCCAAATGCTAGGACATACTACTGACTTTTCAGAGGAACCAAGACCCTGCCCTCCAGGATTGCGAATTCTGATACAAATCCTGCCTCAGGCCTCTTCCTCTGTGACGCTGGGTAAGTGACTGTCTGTCTCTGAGCCTCTGGTCACTCCTCTATCAAAGGGAAACAGAGGACAACGCTCACCTCTCGAGGGACTTAGGGGAATTAAATAAGATAACCTGCGCAAAGCACACTATGCGAGATCCAAGAGGAAATCATGGGGCCTCTTTTTCAAAACTTACTGAAGAGTTTCAGAGGTGGCAGCAGAACATACATGTAACACAGGGCGTTCTGAGCACAGGGCTGTGTGACCACATGGGCTGCATCCTTGGAAAGCGGCCCTGAGCAGTCAAGCATTCAACCCAGTAACCCAGTACCTGCGTCCAGAGAACATTCGTTCTTTTCTTCCTTTCAACCGGGCGACATTGCTGACTGTGATAAAATTAGATGCTCCAAACTGTTAGGAGTAGAAAATACCCCAATGCTGGGAAAGATCAAAGGCAGGAGGAGGAGGGGACGACAGAAGATGAAATGGTTGGATGGCATCACCAACTCAATGGACATGAATTTGAGCAAACTCTGGGAGACAGTGAAGGACAGGGAGGTCTGGTGTGCTGCAGTCTATGAAGTTGCAGAGTCAGACATGACTGAGCGACTGCACAACAAAACAGTTAGGAGCAGCTCACTCGTACTCAGAGCTCACTTATAACCCAGTTACCTCCTGAATGGTACAGCAGAGCTGGGGTGTCCAGCTCCAGGAGAGTTTGCCTCTCTTTGTGATGCC